GAATAAACCTGTGCACATATGAACTGGAACCTTAGTAGCAATACTTTTCTAAAGTACCCTTATTTTTAAAGAAGCTATTTCCCCTATGCTCTGGTAGTGTAGTGGTTACGAATCGGGCTATGAACCGCAAGATCAGCAGTTCGAAACTACCAGCTGCTCCACGGGAGAAAGATGAGGCGTACTGCTCCCGTAAAGATTAACAGCCTCGGAAACCCTGTGCAGGGTCTCTATGAGTCGGAACCAACTCCACGGCACATAACAACAACAACAACAACAACATTTCCCCTATAGCTAATTCTGTGGCATGACATTGTATCATTTTTGCTTCAGATTTTTCAGTTCAGGCATAAAGTTGGTTTCTATTTTGTAATATTATTAGATACATACTGTTTGGTATCATTTGTAAAGATATTAAAGTTTTTCTCATAATACATATAAATATATATAATTTATGTATAAAAAACAAACCAAACCTACTGCCATTGAATTGATTCTGATTCATAGCAACCCTGTACAGTTTTTCCTAAGACGGTAAATCTATATAGGAACAGACACACTCATATTTCTCCTTTCAAGTGGTTGGTGAGTTTGAACTTCCAACATGTATGTAGTAACCCAGTGCCTAACCAACAAAACTACAAGGATCCTTAATTTGTGTATGTTGTTGTTAAGTGCTGTCAAGTGGGTTCCATCTCACAGAGACTCTGTATAGGGTTTCTGAGGAGCAGCTTGTGAGCTTGAACTACTGATCTTGTGGTTCAAACTGATCTTGCAGTCCAGTGCATTAACCCACAGCACCACAACAAAACTCCTAATTTGCATATAGTCAGTTTAAATTGATCATGATTTAGGAGCAATTTTATGGCTTAATATATAATCCATATGGGACTAAAATGAGTCAGTGCAACTGGAATCATAGGATCAATGTGTAGTTAGAAAATTATGGTTGATAAAATTCTATGGATAGTTCATTTCTCTCCGTAGAATTTGGGGAAAAGAAGTTGTTAATCATTTATAATTATTCTCAGAAAGGAGCTATCTGTCTTAAGAACAATTAGCCCTTGAAAATTAATATTGCATTCAGTGTTTGGATCAATTTTTAAATAATGCATGACTGTTTTTCAGGGATTCGGTTTTGCTAAAAGCTGGAAACTGGACAAAAAAGATTAATGTAAAAAGAGCACTTATATCTGACGATCTTAGCATACATCTACTTAGTTCTGAATATGGTAAGTTAATTGAAGTAAGGACATGATCATAAAATTACACTTAAGGTTTGTTTCTTTTATGCTTAAACAGAAAAAAAAGAAAAATGATATTATGTAAAAATCATATATTTAGATAATATGAATAAACTTTGAAGTGTGCCAGGATAACATTATTAAAATTTTATCTGTGTATTAATGCTAGATATTTTATCTTCCAAGATAGGTAAATTTCAGTTATTGTAGGGACACAGATTTTTACGATGATGTTGTTGTTAAGTTCCGTAGAGTCAATTCCTACCCATAGTGACCTTGTATAGGGTTTCTGGGGAACAGCTGGTGAGCTTGAACTACCGACCTTGCAGTTCAGATGGCTTTGCAGTCTGGCGTATTAACCTACAGCGCCACACCAGGACTTCTTTATAATGATGGTGGCTGTGTGCTGTGGAGTCGGTTCCGACTCATAATGACCCTGTACAGGGTTTCCGAGGCTGTAAATCTTTACGGGAGCAGAATAGCTGGTAGTTTCAAACTGCTAACCTTGAAGTTCAGAGCCCGATTCGTAACCACTACGCTACCAGAGCTCCTTTTTATAATGATAGATGTGTACAATTTTATTTGTTATGTTTTTTAACATTTAAAAATTTTTAATTTTCTGAACTTCTGTAACTCTTCTAGTTCAAAAAATTATAAGAATATGGTGTTGTTAGTGCCATCTAGTTGATTCCAACTCATAACAACCCTGTATAAGATTTCTGAGGAGTGGCTGGTAAGTTGGAATTGCTGAACTTGTGGTTAGCGGTGCAGCACTTATCCTGTCAGGCCAGGACCCCTGTAAAAATATGTTTTTGTTAAGTGCTGTCAAGTCAGTTCCAACCCATAGCAACTTGCGTAGCATTTCCGAGGACCAACTGGTGAACTTGAACCACTGTGGTTGAAACCAACTTTGCAGTCCAGCACATTAACCTACAGTGCTACACTAGGACTCTTATACGAATATGTTGTTGTCGAGTTGGTTCCAACCCATAGCAACCCTGTATAGGGTTTCCGAGGAGCAGCTAGTGAGCTTGAACCACTGACCTTGCAGTTCAAACGACTTTGCAGTCTGATGCATTAGCCCACAGTGCCACACCAGGACTCTTATAAGAATATAGGAGGTACAAAAATAAATAAATGGTGTCATATGGATTTACATAATTTAAATATGTACTTATTGTTTTCTTTTTCCAGCTGGACTTGATATTCAGCAAAAATTCACCGTCTTTTACTTAGGACCCAAGAAATTTGGAAATCAAATAACTATGCAAAGAAAATCAGAAACAGAGATTTCCCATCCTAAACATTTAGATAAATCTGTAGCAGAACCCAATAAAGGTAAGTATCCATAGTAATTCCTATTTTTGCATTATTGTTAAGTGCTGTTGAGTTGGTTTCAACTTATAGATATTCTGCATAGAGTTTCTGAGGAGTGGCTGGTGAGTTTGAACCTCTGACCTTGAGGTTAGCAGTTAAGTGCTTATCCTACGGCACCACACCAGGAACAAAGATACAGTAAGAGAGAAGTATCAGTATTATAGCTTGGCTTCAATCACACTGTTGATGTTCTGGAGTTAGACATTTAAATTTCATAACAATTGCATTAATTAAATATAGTAGGAATTATTTTCAGAGTTAATATTTATCAGATTGAAGTAATGTTTAAGGCACAAATTCTTTGAGTAGTCATTTGATAAATATATTCTTTTGCCTGTATTCATTTTATTCATATAAACACCATCAGGGAGTACAAGTAAAGTACAGGAACCTTAGAATTTGATAAGTCAAACCAGGATGACGATGAATTAATTTTTTTACTATGGGAATTTTAAGACATACACAAAAGCAGACAGAAGCATATAAGCACATGGGAAGATGTTGTTATCATTAATAAATGCTGCCATTAAATCAATTTCAACTCATATTGACCCAATAGGACAGAATAGAACATTTTCTAGGGATTCTAAGACTATACAAATATGAGGGTGAGTAAAAAATTATCTGCATTCTGGTTATATTAAAATGCCCATCCACATCCACAGCTGATGACAACGTGAAGTGATTTTTTCAAATAGAAGAGTGACCGTGGATTATGTGACAAATCATATGCAAATCAGCCGTAACTATATGAAATGATCCACAACAGACTTGGCTTTCAAAAAGTTTGTGCGAGATGGGTACCAAAACAGTTCACAGAAAAGCATAAATGGAAGTGTTT